TGAAAGAGCCATCATCACATACCTGTTGACAAATTTTCTAGATAAATATCAACCAAGCTGGCTGACCTGGCCCCACTCTCTAATATGGCAAGGTCACCCAAGTGGTGTTTCCCTGTGAAGTCTTTTAATGGCCTGCCAGCCAGCCTTCCCCTGCGACAAATTTGCTAGATAAATAACCAAGCTGGCTGATCTGGCCCCACTCTCTAATATGGCAAGGTCACCCAGGTGGTGTTTCCCTGTGAAGTCTTTTAATGGCCTGCCAGCCAGCCTTCCCCTGCCAAGGACCAGCACTTATTTAATGACCTCCCCCTCATGTTAATAGCCTATCTATTTATGCCAAGAAATTATTGAGAAATAAATCTTAGTCTAAGGTATATTAATTACTTGTGGTAAAAGTAACTCAATTTGTGTAGAACCCAATCAAATGCTTCATAAGAGAGAGGATACTCCCAGCTATGAAACAATACTGCATTGATCACTGACTCTGCCGGTGTGATTGTGGATGTATTTGTAAGACAGACACAGCTACTGCTATAAAGAAGCCAGCCTTTTACCCAACTGACAGAGATTTTAAATATAGTGTAAATGATAAAGTAAGAATCCTATTTTTCTTGTTTCATCCCCTATTTCCAGACTGTAACACTTTAGAAATACAGTGTAAAATTTTACAAAATTAATTACTTTTAACTTTAAGGAGTTGTTAGGAAACTTCTTTGTCAGGAATTATAAAAATACACTATCACTAGGAAGACATCTGACTCCCCTGTACAAAGTACGCTCATGGACGGAACTGAAAACTGGTTCAATGCTAAAGTTTTCTCTCTTTGTGAAGCTGCCAGTGTTCAGATCCCTAAGAATGTAATGCAAAATCAAATTAGAAATATTAAGTAAATGTGACTGATGAAAGAAGTGGTGATATATTTATATTTTGAGAATTCTGCTAAAAATAAATTATTAATCAATATTTTCCCTAAGATAGCACAAGCACGTGTGGGCACAATCAGTATGTTCAGGTTGACCTTAAGTCTGAACTCAGATATCCCATGTGGTTCTAGTAAGCTCAGTCCCAGTGACTGAGCTTCTTTTGACTTAAGAAATTTTTTTTAAAATTGATGTGTTTATGTTTTATTGTGAGGGAAACAGGCTCAGAGAGAGAGAGAGAGAGTGTGCACTCCCAATGGGACCTTGAGTCATGGTTTATCTTCATCCTCAGCCAGCCCAGATTATGGGCATACACATGCCCAGTGTACTCGGGGGGGTGTGTCTCCAAATGTGAACCTGAACCTTCTCATTGAGTCAGCCTGAGAATCATGTTTCATTACCATGTCACTGTCAAGCTCTCTCTTTTGACATTTTGAAAACAACCATTCTACCAGATGTGAGGTAGTGTCTCATTGTGGTTTTGACTTGCAGTTCCCTGGTGATTAGTGATTTTAAGCTTTTTTTTTTTTTAAATCAGTGTCCAAGTCAAGGTCATGAAGCAGTTCCCTATGTTACCTTCTAGGAGTTTCACAGTTTTGGGTATTACATTTAAGTCTTTCATATATTTTGAATCAATATTTGTTAATGGTGAGAGATAAGAGTCTAATTTCATTCTTCTGCTTGTATATATATATATACAGTTTTCCAATCTTATTTATGGGAGA